GGTGGGGGGGGATGTGAGAAGAGAGGCGGGGTGGCCGCAGGCCTGCTGAGCGAGGAGCCTGGGACCCCTAAAGAGGACAAACGAGTGCAGTAGTTGCAAACGCTTCATCTCGCAGCGCGATTGCCAGGGCCGCGTTAGCGGTAACTGCACTTTAAATACACCTCGCCCGCTCCGAGAAGGCAGATGAGAGGGAAATCACAGAATCACAGAACGTTAGGGGCTGGAAGGGACCTCTGTGGGTCACCCAGTCCAACCCTCCTGCTGTAGCAGGGTCACCTATAGCACCTACAGTAGGTTGTAGAGGACCTTGTCCAGGCAGGGCTTGAATATCTCCAGAGAAGGAGACTCCACAGCCTCCCTGGGCAGCCTGTGCCAGGGCTCCGTCACCCTCAGAGGGAAGAAGTTCTTCCTCGTGTTCAGACAGAATTCACCGAGCGGCCAGGCGGGGGTTTGGTGAAGCAGGGCCAGCGGAAAGCCAGTCAGTTGCAATAACTCATCCCCGCTGTAGGAAAGCTACCGTCAGATTTGCTTTGTCATTCAGGTACGACTTGAGAAGCGATCAGGTTGTCTTGAGCACGTTTACTATTCCGATGCTGCAAAGAAGAGCAATTGCTGTGTTTCTTTCTCTGAAAATTGAAACTCTCCAGTTTAAGACTACCCTCAGCACTAAACCAGACAAGGTTTCCCCCCATCTCTTCTTCCTGGCTGCCTCCAGGACTAGCTGCTTTAGACCCAAATCAATTACTTTCTGCTGCTTCACGCGAACTCTTAAAAGCGCAAGGAGGGAGCACGTAGCACACGGTATAAGAGTGGGCTGGATTGCTTCTTTCACTGCCAGTTTTTGATAAACTGAAAGCGTTTAAACAAAAAACCCAAGCTTCCCCCTCGCAGGCTGTAGTGATAGGCTGTGACAGCAAGATGGCCCTGCTCCACTGCGCGCTGTGCTGCACCCCTTGCAGCAGGCTGAGGGGTCAGCTGGCCGCTTCAAGGTTGGTTTTCCAGGGCGTCG